AAGGATGACCACGTCGGCAACAAACAGGGTTCGTTTCCACCCCTCCGCAAGTGGTGCCGTTTGTCCATGACACGTGCATTTGCCTCGCTGCTCGTGTCCACGGGTTTTGGCACCGGGCCTGGCCGGCTGGGGGAGGCTGCGTGCGCTCGGCAGCCGGAGTTTGGAGAAATGTGGTGACTCGTGTGTTCCCCGCCCTCTCCACCTGCCACTCCTCACCTCTCCGAGCCGCTGCGCTGGGAGATTCGCATTCCCTCTCCGCAACGGTGACATCGGGCTAAGCCTTCCAGGACACGATCTTACACCTGGCCGCCGTCATCGACGTGCGTCCAGAGGCGGACAGCTCGCGGCTGGAAGCCGTCAACGTGTCGGGGGTGGCCAACATGCTGAACGCGGCGCAGAAGTACGGTACCGAGGCCTTCGTTCACGTCAGCACTACCGCGGGGGGCCGGATGAAACGCCTGCCCTGCACTTCCTCTCCACTCGCCGCGCCTCTTCCATCCAGCTAGCTGATGTTACTGCTGCCTTCTCCTCCACATCCTCCTTGTTTTCCGCCACCTCCCTCCGACGACGATCGGCCTCCTTCTCCTGCTTTTCGATCTCCCCGTCCGTTTCACTCTCGTTTCGCCTACCTCCTTCCTCCACTCCCTTCCCGCTCCCTTCCCTCCCCTCCACCTTTTCCCCGTCGTCTTTGCCGCTTCGTCCCTCCGTCTTCCTTCCTCCTCCCTCTCTCCCTCGCTTCCCTCCCCCTCGTCAGGATCTCTTCTCTCACCTCCTGCCCTCTCCTGCTCGTTCGTCTTCTTCCTTTCCCTTGCCCCTCATCCTCCTCCATCCAATAGATTCTCCATCGTACCCCGCGTCTTCTCCCTATGTGTCCCTTTTCCTCCTCCTCGTCCCTAGTTTCTGTTCCCTTCATCAGCCTCCCGACTTCTCCACCCCTCCTTGACGTACCTCTCCTCCTTCCCTCCTCCTCAGTTGTCCCTCCCCGTTCTTTTCTCCTGACCCGTTCCTTTGTCCTTATCCATTATCATTTCCTTACACAATGTGCTCATCATTAGTTATTATTGCTCGTTTCTCCCTCCTTATTCCCCCAGTATCCCTCATCCCTGCTCCCTGCTGCTTGCTTCCTTTCCGCCTTCTCCTTATCCTGTAGCCTTCTCCAGTCTTCTTCAGCCTTCTCCAGCCTCCTTCTCCAGCGTTCTCCAGCCTCCTCCTCATCTTTTACTTCAGCCTCCTCCCAGCCGCCTGCAGCCATCTCCAGCCTCCTCTCCATTCCATTCAGCCTCCTCCGCCACCTCGTTGTCATCTTCTTCCTCCTTCCCCTCCTCATCTTTCCCTTCATCTTGTGCCCTCTCCTCTTCTCCTGCTCCACCTCCCCGCTTCTCCATGTCTCCTCCCTCCTCAACGTCCTCCTCTCCCTCGCCCCGGCCAGCACAGCAGGGTGGGGCACGCGCTCTCTCTTCGGATCCCCCCGCCATCGACACCGCCCTGGACGTCACCAAGGGACTCGACCGCCACGCTCCAGACGCTCCTGGGGACCTCCAGACCGAGTCTCCGGTGCACTACATCTTGAGTGCCCAACCGCCTGCAAGACTCGGCGATGCGCGAAAGAGAGCAGGCGTCACGTGGGCGGCCTCCTGCGCAGGCCTTGTCCTTGTCCCGGCCTTTTTCCTGGAGGTCCGGGCAACCGTGCGCTGAGGGTGCAGATCCTTTGTTCAGAAGACCCCTGCTCTCTTCCCCGGAGGCAGCCAGCCAGGCAGGGCAGGGTCGCTGCCGAGAGGACCTGAACCACCATGGACATCGCAGTCACAGATCGCAGCCACAGCCAGGATGTTATATTCGCAGCGTTCCTCCTACTCCCCGTCTTCCTACCAAGCATCCACCTGATTATCTCTATCACCTGCCACTCCTCCCTCTCCTCATCATATTCCTTCTCCTCCTCCTCCTGTTTCTCTTGTTCCACCTGCCGATGTCGGGCAGGTTTCGAAATCATATACACCGTATAAGAGCGTCCAAGAATGTTCGCATGGCGTTTCAGTGCGCTGTCGAATGGCCACGGCGCCCGATACATCCTCCAGACCCGCCAGGTCTTAGAGATTCCTGATTGATCTCTGTCTGATGTTTGTCTCATTCCTGCCGTCGTCTTACGCTGTCTCCTCCTCGTTCTCCCCCTCCTCCTCATCCTCCGCCTCCTCCTCCTCCTCCTCGTCCTGATCCCCCTGCTCTTCCTACCTACGTTCCTGTCCCTCCTCCTTGTCTTCCTCCTCCCCTCCTCGTAGCGCAAGCTCGTCCCCCAGATCCTTCTCGGGACTTTGCTCCCACAGATCTCCGGTCTGACTTCCCCTCGGCCGTGATCCGATTTCCAGAGGTTCGCGCTTCCCGGCTCTGCCCCGGGCCACTCTGACTGCGAGTGCCCACGGGGGGCTCAAGGTCGGGGGCACTCGCGGGAGGGAGGAGCGCCGACCGTAGGAGGGAGCCTCACCCGGTCGGTCGCAACTCATGGGAGCTTTGTCTTCGTGCGCTGACGTGTGGCAATCGATGAGAGGGCGCCGACCCGGCGTCGTCGTAGCGCCGATGCAGCGTCGGCGCAGCGTCGACATGGTGTCCAGTCGCAGCGCCAGCAAGATGGCACGGGAGGCTCGCTCCCACGAGCTGCCATGGATCGGCGGCGGGCGAGGGGGGGAGGTGAGGAGGGGCAGGCCTTCTCAGTAGGCTCGGAAGTCCCCCGGCCTTCTGAGAAGTGTTATAAGCCTTGCTCGAAGACACAAGCAACTTCTCGGAAGGTCCGAGGGCTTCTGAGAAGTCCCGCCGCCTTCTGAGAAGGCCTTCTCCTTCTCACCTCCCCCTCGCTCGCCGCCGAATGGATCATGGGTCCTGTCTGTTGGGTCCGATTGCCCCTCACCTGTCTCCCCCACGTGCTGTTGGCATCGCACGGACGTGTGCGTTTTTCTCGGCGAGAACCATCGAGGACTATCCTGGACCACCGAGCAACAACAAACACGCACGAAACCAAACAATGCACGGGAAGTGGACGTCCGAGCGACGGCAAGTGCTCGCCTGCGCGGACCCGCTCCGCAGCGCAACTCCGTGCGGCCCCCCAGCGGCCGCCCTTCGCCGCTCGCCTCCTTTCGTGGCGCCCGCGTGCGCGGAGCGATACCGACAACGATGGCCTCTTGGCGCGGAGCTCTGGCGGGTGGCACCTGGGGGGGGTGGGCCCACAGGGAGGAGGGGGGGGAGAAACAGACCCCTAAAAAGGAGCACTCCAGAGCCCTTTTTGGAGCCAGCAGGGGCCAAAAAGGAGCCCTAAAGTCCCCCTTGGGGCCCTCTTCCTCGCCCCCCAGCACCACCCTCGGAAGCTGGCGCACATGCACTACCAGTGGCGGGCCGTTTTTCAACCCCAGGACTTTTTGAGGGGACGACGTCGGTGTGGTGTGGTGTATACTTTTTTCCCCGTTTCCCCGTCGGAAGTAACGAACAATGTATACACCAGGATCCCGTACACACCAGGATCCGCTTTCCTGTGCGAGTTCCAGCGCGGGGCCAGGGAAAGCGTCGGTGCATATAGATTTCGGCTCCTTCTCTTCCTCACCCCCCAGACCTTCGGATGCAACTCCTGAGAGGGCAAATTCTGTTTTTGCCCTGCTCCGAAATCTGGCTTACTCCGGCTTAATCCCGCTTAATCCCGCTTAATCCGGCTTAATCCCGCTTGATCCGAGGCCCACTCCGGCGTAATAGCCCCCAAGTGGGGCTTAATCCTCCTTAAATCCTTCCGACGACAACTTCCCAGTAGCTGCCTCCGAACGCCCGAGGAGCGAAGACCCCCCCTGGGCGGCCCCGCGAGGCTGCCGCCCCCCGGGCGCCCCGAGACATGCAGCCTCCTGGCGCCACGGGGTGCCCCATGTGCGCCCCGAGGCGCCCCGCAGAAGCGGCGGCGCGACAGCGGCGGCGCAAATCCGAGCCTCGGGGTCGACCCCCCCCCCCCCCTCCTCCTCCTCCTCCTCCTCCTCCTCCTCCTCCTCCTCCTCCTCCTCTCCTCCTCCTCCTCCTCCCCCTCCTCCCCTCTCCTCCTCCTCCTCCTCCTCCTCCTCCTCCTCCTCCTCCTCCCTCCTCCTCCTCCTCCCCCTCCCCCTCCTCCTCCTCCTCCTCCTCCTCCTCCTCCCCCTCCTCCTCCTCCTCCGACCCCGGGCGAGCCATGGGCTGGGAGGCCCAGGGCTGGTGAGACTGCGGGCTGCGCGCAGACGGCCCCCCTACCCCCAGGGAGTCGGCCTCGGCTGGCCAGGCCAGCCACAACCGGGGGAGCTGTGGTCCTTAGCCCCCCTGGGGGACCCATCGATTTCGACACCCCTCTCGAGAGATCGTCGATGCGATGGGTTCCCCCCAGGGGGGTAAGGACCACATCTCCCTCAGTTGTGGCTGGTCGGCTGGCCTCGACGGGTCCCCCGAGGAGCCCTCGGCCGCCTCGACACGCCGCAGGCTGGGGGGCGCCGCCGGGGGCGGCGCAGATGCATTGCGAAGAGTCACGACCAGAGCCCTGCGTCCTTCTGCTACGCTGCAGCAGCAACGTGGCCAGGACCGGAGCCCTGGACCATCCTTCGGACGCGGAGCCCTTGACCACCTGCTCTGAAGCAATTGCTACGCCAGGCGCTCAGGTTACCTAGGGGGGCTGGTTGTGCGCATCCCGAAGCCCAGGCCCCCGACGTCATGATTTGTTCATGACGTAGGACCCAGAAGTCCCGACCCTTTCCCCAGGACCGATTTCTCGTCCCGAGTCGTTTTGTTGACGCTCCTGGGGCCCGGTTAGGGCCCCCTGGAGGCCGAAAACGGCGCAAACACTCCCGCGCGGATTTCTCGACGCGAGCTCGTCGGGGCTTGCTACGGCCGGATTCTCCGGACCTCTCCTCGGGGTGCGTCCTGACCAGGATTTCCGAGTTCAGACCCCGTCATGTTTTTTTGTGGGGGGCAGCGCGAGCATGCCGAGGGGGGGGGGGCCTGCTGGCGCGCAGCCCGAAGCCTTGTCGGCCCGGGGCCGTGGGGCGGTCGGGCCCTCGAGCGTCCGGACGAAGGCCCGCGGCGAGGCGCTCGCCGTCGCCGCCGGACGGCTGGGGCGCGGCAGCCTGCCGGCGGTTGTCGTGCTGCGCCCTGGGCACTCAGCAGCATTGAACCGCCCCCTTCCTCCTCCTCCTCCTCCTCCTCCTCCTCCTCCTCCTCCTCCTCCTCCTGCTCCTCCTCCTCCTCCTCCTCCTTCTCCTCCTCCTCCTCCTCCTCCTATTCCCCCCCCTCTCCATCCTCATCCCCAGACAAGGCCGCGCCGTGAAGGAATCAGGGCGGAGGTGTCTTGCCCTTGTCGGCCTCCCCATGGGGGTCCTCGTCGGGCCCCGGGGCCGTCGAAGACGTTTCGGGATGCAAAAAAAACCGGCCCTGAGGAAGAGCTCGGGGCTTCCGGGGACCGCGTATTGAACAAGTCCAGACTTCGCACGTCCGGGTCTCGACCCCCACCATCCCACCACCCCAGCAGGGGATACACCTCGAAGCCCAAGGAAGCGGCCGACATCCAGAGTTTGATAGACCTCCTACCCTGACACGTCGATTAAGGAATTGGCCGTTTTCGGTTCGCGAGAGGGCGTCGCGGCCGTCATTTTTGCAGCTCCAGATCCGTGGGTTTCGGTCCCAGGCCGTTTTCACTAAGGGGAGGTTTACTAAAGGGAGATCTGTCCACCGCCGATATGTCCTCATCGATAAAGGGGAAATCGGGCCTGTCCCTCTACAGGGGGGAATATTCAAAAATGGTAAAAACATATTATGGGGACTATTATTTGCTTATGTTATGGCCATTTTGGAGTTTTGTTTGCGTGTTTTTTTATTTTTCGTCGAAAATCCCCATGTAGGGGGACACGCCCGACTTAACGATAAGGGGAAATCGGCCAGATGGGCCCAGGCCACTCCCTTGGGGACAGGGCTGGCTTAAAGGGTGCTCACAGGCACATCTACGACGACACCCGGGCGGGCGACCCGCTCGTCCCGCTGCTGAGGATCGCCTCGAACCTCGTCGGAAGAGTCTCAAGCAGTTGCGAAGCGTCCCGGTTCGCCGATAGCCTTACCAAACAATGTTATAAGAACCTGTTGTGGTCTGCACGAAATGCTCTTAGAACATTCCTGGCGGAGATTGTCTTGTTCGAACACATCGGGTTTATGTTATAAGAACATTGTTTTTGTTATTCGAACATTTTGTGGTTCTAAGAAAATTTTGTGGTAGGTCTATAGGAATGCCGGGACGGTCGGTCCCTGCTCAATACCGATGCCGCCGCCCTTCGTCCTCGCCTGTTTGTTGGGCCTCCTGGGAGGCCCTCGCCGCTGGATTCGCCTCGGAATTCTGGTCAGAACGCACCCCGAGAGAGGTCTGGGGAATCGGGCCGTACCAGGCCCCGACGCGCTCGCGTTGTGAACAGAAACGCTGCGGCAGTTGTTTCGCCGTTGTCGGCCTCCTGGAGCCCTAACCGGGCTCGGGGAGCGCCAAAAAAACGACTCGGGACGAAACGCCTGTCCAGGGGCAGGGTCGGGACTTCGGGGGACCGCGTATTAAAATTATCCTGGCAGAGGACCCAACCATATGCAGCTGCGAGTATCGCTTCGAGGGACTTCGGCCGCTGGGGCCTTCGGTGGAGCTCCCTATGGGGCCACGAAGTGTGCGAGGGGTGTGCCGACTCGGGTGCGGGTGCGCCATTCGGACTTTGCCGCTGGGGCCTTCGGTGGAGCCCCCCCCATGGGGCCACGGAGCGTGTGAGTCGTGTCCCGAATCTGGTGCGGGTGCGCCATGCGGCCGAATGAATACGGGGCCGCCATGCGGACCCTCCCACTCGGGCCTTGGGTTGAGCTCCCCGTGAGGCCGTGAACTGCGTGAGGGGTGTGCCAAAATGGGGCGGGGCCGCCATGCGGCTACGAGCCGTGTGAGTGGTGTGCCGAAATGGGGCGGCGCCGGCATGCGGACCCTGCCACTTGGGCCTTGGGTGGAGCTCCCAATGGCGCCACGAACCCTGTGAGAGGTGTGCAGCATTGTGGACGAGGGCTGAGGCAGTAACGGCAAGGAGGAGTGAGCTTGAGGATGATCCTGTCGATGATGCTGATGCTGATGACGTTGTGGAGCACCTTCTGCGGCCGCGGACCGCCCGAGCGGTGGGCCGAAATGGGGGTGGAATTGCATGCGGACCCTGCCACTGGGGCCTTCGGCGGAGCACCCTGTGGGGCCACGAACCGCGTGAGGGGTGCGCCAAAATGGGGGTGGAACTGCATGCGGACCCTGCCACTTCTTCGGTGGAGCACCCTACGGGGCCACGGTACGTGTGAGGGGTGCGCCGAAACGGAGGTGGAATTGCATGCGGACTCTGCCACTGGGGCCTTCGGTGGAGCACCCTATGGGCCACGAAACGTGTGAGGGGTGCGCCGGATTGGGGGTGGAACTGCATGCGGACCTTGCCACAGGGGCCTTTGGTGGAGATCCCCATGGGGCCACGCACCTTGTGAGGAGAGGCGAGAGGGAGGGACGCGGGGCGCTGTCTCTTCAAACTGAGGACCCAACAACACCGGATGGTTGGGAAACAAATCAGGATGTCGTATCTTTGGGTCGGGCAGTGCCAAGGGGGGATCGCCATTAGAGGGTTCACCAGCTCCGCCTGGAAATCGAGGCTCCAGGATCGAAGCTCGAGGAGGTTTTTGGACGTTTCGGGTCGTGCTGGAGGGATCGGGCGTGTTCTGGAGGCCACTTCCTCAAGAAAATGGCGCCTCCTCAGGGAAGGGGCAACCCCGCCAGTGGTGACCCCCTTTGACACTGCCAGTGAAGAGAAAGGGCCCCTCGGGCAGAGGTGTCCTGTTTCTGTTCGCCGTGACCAGCCTCGCGGGGCCATTTCCCAGGCGCACGGCGCCGTCACCGAGGACGCAAAACATGCATACACCTTAGGCGATGCTTAAGAAAACCTAAGTTTTCGTCCAGAGTCTCGATTATTCTTAACGTTTTCATGTAAATCTTAAGATGTTGATAGAAATCTTTGGTTTTTGTTCAAGTTCTGAGATTATGAATTTCTTAACCCATGATTTCTTAAGCATTTCGCAGGGTGTAGGCGTAAACCGTCGAAGCTCTGCACGGACCTCCCAGATCGGCGCTGCACCGCCGTGGGTCTCCGCGCCTCCGGCGCTGGGGCGGGGGGGGCCCAGCGCCGGTCCAGGGAAGCGGAGCGGAGCTCCGAAGGTTTGCGTTTACGCCGTGCCGTGCCCCCCTTGCTCTGCTCAGTGGGGGCCCTTCCGCAGGCTCCAGTGCCGTCAAGGAGCGGCTCCCGCTGGAAGGATGGTCTCGGGGAGAGCCCAAGCGTCCAGGGGAGGCCCGTTCCCCTCGGGACCTCCTTCCCTCCTGCGGCCCACGAGGAGGACGCCGCCCCTGCGGCTCGGCACGGGCGAGGCGCGCATGTCGATGGTCTCCGTCCCGAGGCTTGTCGACGCGATGCTGGCGGCGGCCCGCGGGGCGGAGGCCCTGAGGTCGGCGGGGTCAAAGGCAGGGCCCTGAGGGGCGGGGCCCCCAGAGCGAGTGGCCTCAAGCAGGGAAGGCTCAGCTCGGGATGTCTTTCCCATCCGCGGTTGTTTCCTTGGGATGTCTGCAGTGGGAGCCCGCGCCAAATATTTCGGACGGGGTCTCGTCAGTTTCAGGATGGCCCCGTCAGGCCAACCCGAGTCCCCCGAACCCCAGTCTGCCCCCCCCCCGCCGGCCGCCAGCCGAGGGAGAAGAAAGACCAGGACGACGACGACGACGACGACGACGACGACGACGACGAAGAGACCGACGACGACGACGACGACGACGACGAAGAGACCGACGACGAAGATGCCGACGACGGAAGCGACGACGACATCCACGTCTCCCCGATGTATGCTTACTTCGTGGAGCGAAAGGGCGGTACACCATAGGCGATGCTTAAGAAAACTTCAGTTTTCGGCCAGAGTCTCGATGATTCTTAACGTTTCAATGTAAATATTAAGATTTTAATGGAAATGTTGGGTTTTTATTCAAGTTCTGAGACTATGAATTTCTTAACCCATGATTTCTTAAGCATTTCGCAGGGTGTATTAGGGGAAGGGGGGGGGGGTACGACACCTGCTGCCTGCGTGTGGCCGGGTTTCGTGCCCGCCGCTGGGCGCGTTCCTCGAGACATGTCGCCTCTGCCGCCGGGAGGCGCCGGTTTTTTAAGTCGGGCCCGTCCCTCTACAGGGGGAATATTCCCAAATACTCCAAGAATAGTCAGGGGGCTATGTTTTGACCAGAGTTCGGCTTTACAACGTGTAAAGTGGCTTTACAACGTGTAAGTGCTGTTCGGTTGAAGTTGGTTGGTTTCTGGTTAGAAATGCGGCCTAAACACGTGTAACGTGAGCGGCTAGGACGCCCAGAACAACCCATGACCAGCCAGAAAGCAACCAGAAGTCAACCAGATGCACCTACACGGTGTCAAGCCGATCTCGGTTGGCTTGTGGTTCGTTCTGGTTGGAAATGGGGCCAAAACCCGTGTAACTTGGCTGGCGGGTGCCTGCCAACCAGAGGCAACCAAAAGCCAACCATAATCGTTAGTTGGCCGCGGCTGGCCGGCTGACTGGCTGGCGGGCCGGCTGGCGGGCTGGCTGGCTGGCTGGCTGGCTGGCTGTCTGGCTGGCTGTCTGGATGGTTTGCTGGCTCGCTGGCTGGCTTGCTGGGTGGCTTCTGGTTGACTTCTGGCTGGCAGGCTGGCTGTCTGGCTGGCTGGCTGGCCGTCCGGCCGCCTGGCTGGCTGCCTGGCTGGTTGGCTGGCTGGCCGGCGGGCTGGCTGGCTGGTTGGCTAGCTGGGCCCTGGTTGACTTCTGGTTGACTTTTGGCTGGCAGGCTGGCTGTCCGTCTGGCCGGCTGGCGGCGGCGGCGACGACGGCGACGACGACGGCGACGACGGCGACGACGACGACGACGACGACGACGAGGACGACGACGACGACGACGACGACGACGACGACGGCGACGGCGGCGGCGGGTTGGCTGGCTGGCTGGCTGGCTGGCTGGCTGGCTGGCTGGCTGGCTGGCTGGCTGGCTGGCTGGCTGGCTGGCTGGCTGGCTGGTCGGCTGGCTGGCCGGCGGGCTGGCTGGCTGGTTGGCTAGCTGGGCCCTGGCTGACTTCTGGTTGACTTTTGGCTGGCAGGCTGGCTGTCCGTCTGGCCGGCTGGCGGCGGCGGCGACGACGGCGACGACGACGGCGACGACGGCGACGACGACGCCGACGACGACGACGACGACGACGACGACGACGAGGACGACGACGACGACGACGACGACGACGACGGCGACGGCGGCGGCGGGGTGGCTGGCTGGCTGGCTGGCTGGCTGGCTGGCTGGCTGGCTGGCTGGCTGGCTGGCTGGCTGGCTGGCTGGCTTGCTGGCTGGCTGGCTGGCTGGCTGGTCGGCTGGCTGGCCGGCGGGCTGGCTGGCTGGTTGGCTAGCTGGGCCCTGGTTGACTTCTGGTTGACTTTTGGCTGGCAGGCTGGCTGTCCGTCTGGCTGGCTGGCGGCGGCGGCGACGACGGCGACGACGACGGCGACGACGGCGACGACGACGCCGACGACGACGACGACGACGACGACGACGACGACGACGACGACGACGACGACGACGACGACGACGACGACGACGACG